AAAACCTTTGATACAGGCTCCATTAGATTAAAAACTTAATTTTTCTCTGTTATAATCACCAATTTCAAGCTCACTTGAACACTGAAGCTTTCTTGGTAAGTCTAAGTGGGAACTGACTGACCTCTCTCACCTTTGGCTATTAACTGAAACAAAGTTTCAAGGCCCTATAATGTCCTCAGGTTAAAAACTAAATTATCAGTTTTCTTATGTCATATTGCTGGTTCATTTATTCTTGTCAATGGTATCCATCACAAGTGCCCAAAAGGCATTTAAGAGCAGAACAATAAATATATGCCAACCGCAATTATCACATTCTGGAAATGGCACAGGACAAATTCCAATTTGGATTTAGAGCTATCAGCCACAGCGGTGGTTTTGTTTTAGGGTAAATCAGTTAAGTAAATGGGTATTGAGGAACATCTCATTTTAGTGTTTTAGTGAAACATAGACAATAACAATAAAGGTTGTGTGTGGAAGGTGCGGAGAACCTTGGCAGTGCCTACTACAGTTCAGCTGTCAAGTGCACGGGTTCCACAGCCAAATTGCTTGGGTTTTGACTTCTGGCAAGTTACTTACCCTGTCTGTGCCTCAATCTGTTCTATTATCCTAAGACTAGGATAATAACAGTGCTGACCTCAGGGATACCATGAAGAGCAAAAGGGTCTAATGTAGAGCATCTAGAATAGGCTCTGGTTGATAACTTAAAATGTTCATTATTAGTGTTTCGAAGAAACATGACAATTGAAAACTGCAAGCCTGGATCGTTGGCACCGATGCACACAACGAGCAACTCTGCTTATCTCTCCTTCCTCCTGGGTTATGAGCTTGTCACTCCTCTCCTAACACGTGTGCCTTAAAATAGAATGCAAAGTGTTCAGGCGCCTAAACAACACTGAGAAAAAGCATAAGACAGAACATTAATTAGCTACTAGCAGTTCTTATTTCACCTATCTAAAGAAAAGAACTTTTTTCCTTTCTTTATTCTAGTTGTCTATTAGGATCAATTATTATTTAGGTCATTGTTTCAGGGTTTTGAAATAAAGTTGTAAAAATGCCACTGGCTCAGCAGAATAATGCTAATTTGTATTAGTAAAAACTGCAACATTGTTTTCTTTAGTTCAGCATAAGGTGGGAGGCTAGCGTAAGAACATATGTAAGAATATATGTTCCATTTTATATATAGGGAAATTTATATATTTGGACATTTTAATAGATCAGTTTGTTAAAAAAACAAAAAAGCTAAACATTTCTAGCATTATTCTCAAGGTTTTAAAAAACAGCATCAGAAATTCATTATATTTTAAGGAGATACAATATCGTATGTTATTCCTTTCATGAACTAACTCAAGTCCTAGATCTTAGTTATGTTAAAAACTTTCATGTTAATATCAGTAATGACTTACATATGTTGTAAAACTTATTTGGCTAAATCTGAAGTTCTAAGTTGGAGAATGCAGATAATTTCTTTTCCAGAATTAAAAAGAGAAATGTAACCTTAAAGGCTAGCCTTCCTGTTTCACATGGGTTCTAATAACCTATGAAAGTCATAGCACTTTTCGCTCCAGTGGGCATTAGATGCCTTGACATGTGTCCACCTTGCAAGTACTCAGAGAAGCTCACAATAAAATGCTTACTAAATAGAATTCAGCATAGAAGTTAAAATTACAATTCTTTGAAATTTGAATTAAAGTCAGAGATAATCTTAAATGTAAACAGATGATACTTAAGCACTTCTGAAGCACTGAAAGAGGTTAACGGATTCTGTCTTCTAAATACAGAAAGACAGTACAGTTTTTGGACCTTAATTCTTGATACACAAACTCCTAACAATTTACCAAGAAATACTGATAAGTGGGTAGGGTTCCAGTGTCCAAAACTATAATTCTTGTGGAAAATTATTTCTCAAAGGGAAAAAGTGTCCCAGATCTTTAAATCATAAAAAAGAGATGTTCATTCTTACTCAGCAAAGGGGATGCCAAATATCTCACAGGGAGGGTTTTATCCTTGGAAAGATAAAAAGAGTATCAAGAGCATAAGTATAAAACTTTGCAAACACAAAAGGACTAACACATTTCCATGAATCTGTTTTGAGGTGTTCTTTTCTAACTTTGGCAAAATTTCAATTAAGTTTGTTAAAATGGTCAAACTCTTACCAGCTTATGCCAATTCTCCAGAGCCTAATGTCAATGTTTAGTTAAGTAAAGTAAACATGTATCTTGACCCCACAACTCCAGAAAAAAATCAAAACACAAAGAGAAAGTGGACTTGGATTTTTAATTTTTTTAAAGATTATCTCTCTCTATATATTAATAAAAAGTGCAAAGAATAGACCTTCATGTTTAAATTATATTCTAAAATAAAATATATATTTCCATTAACTGCAGGAGACAACTGGCAAGAAAGGAGCCTGAGAGAGCCCAGTCCCTCTCCATCACTACAACGGACGTATATTATAAGGAAGCACCTATGAAAAAGAGAGTGTTCACAACACATCTGGTAACACAGATAGCTTCTGGGTGTTCTTGAAAGCAGTTTGCATTTTCAATCTAACATGAAATGAAGGGAAAAATCAAATTCATAAACAGAAATGATGCTGCTTAGAACAATCTATTACTCTGTATTCCTGTTTTACATATCCTGGAGCCTAGCCCTTCCCACGTAGCAAGCCACACTCACAAGTGCATTAGTAAGAGCCACCACCAGCATGCCTCCAGTGGTGACCAGTCCCTTGTGCAACACCTGCTCTCTCCTCCTAACACTGTGGATTTAGTAACAAAATTGAAAGATCTGGTTAGAAATGGACTTCCATTTTTTTAAGTGAGCAAAATTCTAAACATGTGACACAGAGCTCATGTTTCATTAGTCCTTAAAAAACAACAAGAGGGGTTATATAATATCTGCTGCTTTCTTAGGTATTTAGAGCAATGGTGGCAACAGGCTGTAAAAACAACAGAAGCTTTTAATAATAAAAAAAGACGGATGACTGAACTTATTCTTTTTCTTTGAAGTAATCTGGGATATTTCAACAATTCGAATTCAAAAATTGGTTTCTGTTCTGGCTTCGGCAGCCACGTGCTTACATGCAGAGAGGACCCTTGGTTTTCATTGGGCTCTCTTTTCTTACTCCTTTCCTATTTCACAATTGAAAAGAATTCTGGTTTTAGAAAAGATATGTTCCATACACTGTGCCTGCAGCAACATATCTGTAATACTGGCTCTGACATCATTTGCCTCATAAATGTCAGTAAAAGGCTCTCACTGAATCTGGATGAAATCAGTATTAAAATACAGATAAGCTGCAGCAATCAACTACACCTAACCTGTAGATTCAAAGGTCCATGGTCTCTCCTTCCCTTCTTCTTGGCCCTTATAAAAATAATTTTGGTTACAAGTGTCTACACAGCACCAATTTTATTTCAAAAGCAGCATCTTTACTCAGCCACCCAAATAACTATGTAAGTACACATGCTCAAAAGGCTTTTCTCATTTACTTCTGTTCTGGAACTCTAGAAGAACAGTAACTGTATTAGATTTTCTCACTCAAAAATTATTCAGCAATTATTAAAACCATTAACGACAATGCCCTAAAAATACCCATATCCATCGAATTACATGAGAAGTTCCCCTGACATGCAACTGTATAATAGAATAATGCCTGCAGTTGATGGACACTGTTCTGTAGTAACAGAAGGAACAGTTCTCTAGTAGTAAAAAAGCATTTCATAAAACTTTGTCATATATAAAATATCTTATTAATTGTGACCATTCCATGTATGATTAAAGCATAACATAAGTGTTTGCTCTGCCTTCTGCTATGGGACAGTCAGGGGTCATATAACCTCAAATAATAAGAGGCTATCTGTTTCCCAGGCTGACAAAAGCAATGGGCTCAATTACACTGTTTCTCTCTCAAACTCATCTGCACTCATGCACGCAAACACAAAGCACCCACAGTTTTCATCTTCATGACACTGTTACCACACTTTTTCCCCACTTCCAAAAATCTGTCAGGAAAATGTGATTGCAAAATAGTTTTTCTTGTCTATACCCAGCCTGGATCTGCATTGCTCATTTTTATGATTTTGAAAGATAAAGTCTGCAGCAGAAAGAGCAGGCCTCATTCATCTTTCTCAAACCCTTTGGTTTCCACCTTTAATGTTACAGTGAATGTAGATTTGACTCAGGAGGCCTGGGTCAGAGGCTGTACAGATACTGAACCTGAAGTGCATTAAGAGAATAAATACCTGCTGTCATGGCATAGGAAAAATTTAAAAGTAGCAATAATAAACACAACTCTGCCTACATAAAGAATTTACAGGAGTAATCTAAATATTTCATAAGAAATTAGAGAATCTGTAGGACGGTGGAATCATGTAACAAAGGTCAAACACAATCAGATGGTGATTACATTCTTTGTCAAATACTTCACATGCTCATCTGTGCTCCAGCTCTGCTAAAATCTTTCTTAAGTCTCCCATCCGTAAGCACAGTGGACCAAGAAAGACATATATCAAAGAAAGGGATTACACTGCTAACAAAGGAATAGAAGATCAAACACAAAAATTACAGAGCCAGGAAGGAGCTAGCTTTTAAAGCAAAGTGCTTTAAATATGCTACTGCAAAGACTATCACTTGGAGGCAGTTCTGAAGTTGGACACTTATACTTTGCTCAGGGACTAGGCAGTTATTCTTCTGTAGGGGCAACAAAATTGGAATGCAAAACAAAAAGAACTGTCCAAGTACGACATCACAGAAGCCCAGAGAAGGGCTGGTAATCAAAGCTCCCGCTGATGGAAATTTCCCACGTCTCCTGCAGAGTGCAAGCGCAAGGACGTCAGACGGCGACCCAGGCAGGGAAGTCGCGACGCTCTTCCCCCCATTCTCCCCACCTTACTCCCTCACACACGCACTGCAGAGAGTCTATCAGCTGACTCTCCACTCTCCCGGCACGGCACATATACCCATTACTCCAGGGGATTCGTCGTAAAGTCAGGTCTCTATTCCCAACAGTTTAAAGTAATGAAAAAATAGACATGAGGAAATATATTCGATAAGCAAAATATAAAAGAACTCTAGAATCTGACATATTTCATGTTACGGAAATAATGGTCGATCATATTATGTGAGGAACATTAAAATCGAGATAGTTACACACAAAGAAGTCGGACTGCCCTGCCTGCCTCCAGAACAAGGCAAGCTTCCCTGGAGCTGCAACTTCCCATCTGCTCTCCCACGAGATCTCCCCAGAGTCATGGGTTCTGAGTACCTCAGAGCAGATTCAGGTTGGAAAATGCTTAGAACACTTAAAATTATTTCAAAACAGAGAGAGGAGGAAAAAAGTCACCCACGCTGGGAAAGAAGTTAATTATGGACAGAATTAAACTATTTGGTAAACACATGCTGTCACAAGTCAAAATGAAAAGCTGAACCCAAAATGGAAAGGAGGGAGAGGGAGGGAAAAGGGAGGGTTTGTGAGAGAGACGTGCTGGCCCTTCCTGTAAAGACGCCTTGTCTCCTGTTTGAACACTATGAGCTGCCATCCAAGGAGGGTACACTATTCACACCCTCTTCCACGTACGCCTACATGGCAGGGATGACCGTGCGGTAGATGGAGCCCAGCCAACACAGTAAGAAGTTGGTGACTGCTCAGCCATCCTGCCTCTGGGAGGGCACAGGGACTGGAGACGTAGTCAGTTCTGTTGGCTGAGCCCAATAAATCTGTAGAAAATACCCCAAACAGCTCCTTACCCATTCTAAGGGGAAAAATATACAAAACCCCCCTGAAACCTAAACAAAACAAAACAAAAGCAACCTTCTCCCTCCTAAAGGAAACCACACTGGAAACAAATGCCCGCAAGAAGTCCTTATGTGTGTGTTGTTACAAGGCTGGTAGAGGTTATTTTGTTTTGGATTCCACATAAATTTTATCTCCATCCCTAATGCCAAAAGAATGCAACGCCCTAGAGCTGTACTTCATTTCCTCCGGACCAAAGGGTGCTTCATGGTCAAAATAGTAGAGAAGCATGTTGCTTGTGGGTAACTGCACTACAGTTTTTAATTGTTTCTTCAGTTCTGCCACTGTTTGGTCCAGACGAATGCTCATCTCTTCCACCTGATCGTTAAAGTGGACTTCCACTCTTGCACTGCTCTGGGGTCTTAGGTCCACTTCTGCCAAAGGCTCCAATTTCCCATATTTTGTGATCAGTTCATGATACCTAGAAGGATAAAAAAAACAGCATCAACTTAAGCCACTATTACATGACCTATGGGCTTCTTCAGAACCAAAGGTAAACCACACTGCTACTCTCAAACATCTTTCTAATATCTTTCTAATATCCTATTCTAAGATCACAACCATTACCTATCTATCTGTCTATCTGATGACTATGATGATATCTGGGATCTGATGCAGTGACTTTCTCAGGCCAGAGTAAAACCACATCCTGAGGATATGTGAAGTTTCTCCTAGAGATGGTCACCATGCCTGCTGTTGATCATTAGACAAGAATAGGCCTAGAAAGGTTAGGAGAAGCTAGAAAAGCAGCCACTACAAAGATTACATAGAAAATTCAAATCACTCCACAGAACTTCTTTCCTCAGTGTCACCATCAAGAAGGGCGCAGATCGAAGCGCATGCTCCTCGGTAACAGAGGGGAGGGTGGGAATAGGCCGGCAGTTTCTGACCCTGCAAAAGCCATTCCTTTCAAACAAAAAAATCTAGTTGCATGTGAGCTGTTAACCCAGCTTTTTCGGTGATGCTTGTTTGAATGTTCTAGAACCCGGTCTCTCAAGCTGCAATACAAGGAATTTGTAGAAGAGTCAAGCATACATTACTGTAAAAAAGTAGTAGATGAGAGATACAGGCTCCTTGACCAAGGCAGGGGAAGGAGCACAAGACACCCAAGAGGAGAGTGCATTACAGAGGTGATACTAGGGTCCACAAGGCCAAGTTTCCTGAGTGGGAAATCTTTTCTCCACCACCAGCCTTAGAGGATCTAGCTCTGCCTTTATTGAAGTTAAGCAGTTTCCTATACACCAGAGGGGGAAAAATTCTGAAAAGATTTGCTATTAGCTTTATTATAACCAAGAGGCACTGAGGTTAATTCAAGATCAGAAAACAGTGGTCACACAAAATTATTCCCCCACTTCCTCCACCCTATTTTTGGCTTTAACTGAGTTAAATCAGTGTTATAATAAGGCTGGTAGGAACATGAAAGTTGTAGGAAGATATCTGTGTCTAGGGATGGAGGCCATCGTTTCCATCAAGGGGAGTAAAACAGCACAGGCCCTGGAGTGAGAAGACCTGACTTCAGAGTCTTGACTCCATCTTATAATAAGCTGTGTGACCTAGCAACTCACTCAATCCTTTTAGATACCAGTTTTTTTCATTAGTAAAACTGGGATAAGCCTGCCCTTCCTACCTTATAAGCAGTCCTAAGAATTATGCAAAATAGCAGGTGAGTAAGTACTTTGTAAATTCTAAGTACACATACCAATAAAAACATTAACACTACATTCCTGCTGTTCCGGGACTCACATTACTAAAACACGCAGGTCCTTTAGAAGATGAACGACTGAAATCTACCTAGGTAAAATGCCTTAGAAAAGGTGGTGGTATGAAAAACACATTACAGAATCTTCTCCAGGACTTGAGCCAAAATAGTATTTTTTAAAAGCATAAAAATATCACTAACATCAACTAACAAAAGGAGAGGAGGAATAACCTTATCATCACAACCTTTTAAACGGAACCAAAAGCTGTGTACAATGTGCTTTTGCTGAGCAAGGATCCTACCTCAAACTCCGGAAGTCACTATGGAGGAAGAATGTTAGGAGACAAAATCCTGAGCGTACCAACTACCCAGTTTACAGAAAATCGGGCTGAGGAGATGAGAGTCAGGTAGGAGGAGCACCGAGGGAACACGCCGGGGGCCAGAAGCTTCTATATCCCACTGCCAGGATGCCAGGACCTTAGGAAAGGCAAACGAAACAAAATAAAGAAGTCCAGCCAAAAAGCAGAACTACAGGGACTGGAGATTTTCTGAGGCTCCAAGCTGAGGACGTGAATGAGCCGAAGCCCACGGGCACCTTCCCCACCCACCTCCTGGCATACGCCCTCAAGTAAGTGAAAGTAGCCCACGCTAATGCAACAAAATTCTCGGCAAAGACAGCGAGCCCAGGGCATCAAGTGAAAGCTGAACCCAACTCCAGAAATGTTTTCCCTTTCAGATACAGAAGAGTAGACTCCCAATGCCCTGGCCCTCCAACTCTGCTCAAAGAAACAATGGCGAAGGCGTCAAGGAGAGTTTATTTATGTTTCAGAAAAGAGACGGTCGGGAGCGAGGTGCCCACTTTTAAGCATACACAAGAAGGTAAGACACAAAACGGTAAGCAAGCAGACACCCGAACAAAAGGAGAGAGAATGGGAAACAGAAATAAGGAAGAGGAGAGGCCAAGCTCAATCTGAAAGAAAACATACTTGAAGGAAAAGAACATGCCCCACAGATACACTAAGATCTAGAATTAGTAAGTGCATGAATGTAATAAAACGAGCCCAAAGACAAATGATAAACTGCAGAATGAGATGAGAAGGGACACTGCAGAGCCAATGACACCTGTGGAGGAACAAACACCCCTGCTGCTGCCAGGTGGTAATTTCGAAGGCATGACCCAGGAATATTATACCTCTCCAAGTTTTGTTCAGAAATGAATTTAACAGGCAAATATTCTGAAACAAGAACTTAGGGAATAGGGCACCCAGGAGTCCTTCTGAAAAAGAAAAACACTACTCAACAATGAGATTAAAGAACTGTGGCAAGCCCTGAATTTATTTAAATATATAAATAAAATGAAATAATTATATGATCCTAGACTTGTTTATACTTGACACTATAGCCAACTGAACTAATCTGAACCATAAATATATTTGTACACAAAATTATGACCCACCTATAGAAACTAGCCTACTTGCTACAATTGGTCAAGTCTACCTGCAAATTCTATGACCTATGAGTTAGAACACTCTAAGGTCCTACAGTTTTCTCAAAGTTAACAAGCCCAGACATAATTCATTGTTATTCTCTTCTCTTCTAGTCTTTCTTATCTCAGTAAAAGGCAACAGAAACTACCTAACCATCCTAGCCAGGTAGGAAGGGCAGACTTATTACCCCAATTTTACTAATGAAAAAACTGGTATCTAAAAGGATTGAGTGAGTTGCTAGGTCACACAGCTTATTATAAGATGGAGTCAAGACTCTGAAGTCAGATCTTCTCACTCCAGGGCCTGTGCTGTTTTACTCCCCTTAATAGAAACAACAGCCTCCATCCCTAAACACAGATATCTTCCTACATCTTTCATGTTCCTACCAGCCTTATTATAACACTGATTCCTTCTGATCTCTCCTTTCCACTTCTCCCATTCCATCAATTGCTATGTTCTACTAATTTCATTTCTAAATATTTCATGAATCTATCTGCATCTGTCTTGCCCACTCACCTTGTAAATTCAAACCACTGTCAGTGGAGCTTAGAATGCTACAGCTTTGTGTGGATACATAAGGCGAATGCACTTCCTCAGTATCTGTTCCAACCTGTGGAAAGCCTTCCTGTACTGCCAAGACTAGAAAGCTGAAAACTGCACTTCCCAAACTCATTTGAAGGTGAGATTTAGCTTCTATTAATCATATTCAACAACCCTAGGGAGAGAGACAGTGGATCTAGCAGACATGGTATAGGAAGTTTGGGTAGAGGCTTCCTAACCACCAGATTCAGTTTAAGCAGTGTGTTCCTGGAGTCAGCACCCATGGCAGCAGCTTGCTGATCTGCAGGTCACAGCTAACGTGGGGTGGTCCAGCCCCAGGGACAGCAGCTACCGGAGTCCCTTACCGGGTTCTAGAAGAAGTTAGCAGTGCTCCTGGTGGGCCCGTTCTGTGGTACTGTTCTAGAGGCACTCCCAGGGGGGCAGCCATTCAGAGATGTTTGTAAGTACCTATTCCGTGTATTAAAGTGCTTTCTTCTTTAGTAGCTGGCATGGCTTCTGTTATCTAAAACTGAATCCCAAACGATACTCCTTTAGATGGTCTCCCATGACTTCAGGGTGGCCACAAGCTGACCTTTGTCTTCATTACAGCCAAAGTGATTGTTATAAAATACAAATTCAACCACATCGCTCCTCTACTTAAAACCACACAAGACCCATCAGAATAAGGCCCTAACTCTTTGACATGACTGTGGCAGGCAGAATTTTGGACCCCGTGATCTCCAACCCCTGGTGTTATTCTCAAGACTGTATTATATTATGGGCACAGTGGACCTTAAGATAGGGAGATTAACTGGATGGGCCAAATCTAATCATATGAGCCCTTTAAAGCAGAGAAGTTTCTCCAGCTAACATCAGCAGAAGAGGAAGAGAGACTCCAAGCATGAGCAAGACTTGACATACTACTGCTGGCTTAAAGATAAAGGGGGCATGTGAAAGCAGGCAAAAGAACAGAATTCTGCCACCACCCTAAATGAGCCTGCAGGGTGATTCTTCTCCAGAGCCTCTAATAAGCAACGCAGCCCTGCTGAGCCCTTGCTTTTGGCCTGATAAGCCCCTAAGCAGAGAATTTGTTGAGCCACGCTGTCCCCACACTGTTGACCCACACAAACTTGTGACATAAGTAGGCATTGTTTAAAGTCACTACGTTTATGGTAATTTGTTACAGCAGCAGCAGAAAGTGAATACAATGAATGGCTTTAAGAGGCCTTTCATGATCTGGTTTTTTCATCACTTTCCAACCATATTTTGTGCCATCAACTACCACCTTCTGGCACCTGCCTTTCTACTTGTTTAAATCTTAAAATCAATGTTTATTTATTAAGTTACAGGTAAAGTCAGCAGACTTTTGTATGTAGATGAAAGTTTGGATATGGGCTATACTAAATATTTACTCTTTCTTCTATAAAAATGAAGAAAAGTATTAGAGTTGTGACTCATGACTCACACTGAATATGTTCCCGTAAGAGCTATATAAGTAAAATGATTTCAAGATAAATATATTTATTCCTAATTATCTCATTTTGGATTATCTTTAAACAGGGCAAAAAATTCAAGAAGTCATGATTTTACAAAATGCCCAGTAACTTTAGAAACCAATTTCTACTTAATCTTCCAGCTTAGATATTCTTTTCATCATTCAAAAGTCCACCCAACTGAACTATCGCTCTAGACTCT